ACTTTTCATTTGTATTAGTATATGATGGTTTTGTAAAAAAAAATGACGGACTTCGATTGGCCTAAATTTTTGTAGGCCCATAGGAAACAACTAGTGATCAATATGCATTGTTTCGCCATAATATTCAGGTTTATTTTATGGCATTCAGGGATCATGCAATATGAATTTATGATTATATACACCTTTTATGTGAATTAATACATGTTGATTTTGTAAAAAAAAATTGGCATACTCCGATTGGCCTGAAATTTCGTAGGTCTATTGGAAATGGCCTAGTGACACTCATTGTTTCGCCATGACTTTCTAGTTTCTTTTTTGATATTTTACGGTCATGCAACAAGAATTTGTAATGATGTCCTCTTTTTCATATGTATTAGTACATGCTGATTTTGTAGAATTTCATTGACGTACTCCGATCTGCCAAATTTTTGTAGATCCAAAGGAAGCTGCCTAGCGACCAATACTCTTCCCTTTGTCGTGATTTTCAGACTAGGATCGTGCAACACGAATTTATGATTATATCCACTTTTTCGTGTGTATTAGTACATGCTGATTTAGTAAAAAAAATTCGACAGACTACAAATTGCCTAAAGTTTTGTAGATTCATGGAAAATGACCTAGTGACCAATACTCATTGTTTCGCTATGACCTTCGAGATTGCTTTTTGGTCTTTTAAGTTGATGCAACACGAATTTTTAATTATATCCATTTTTTTGCTTGTATTAATACATGATGATTTTATAATTTTTTTACGAACTCTAATTGGACTAAATTTTCGTAGGTCCATAGAAAATCGCCAGTGACTAATACCAAAGCTAGATTTTTTTTGGCATTTTAGGACCATAAAACTGGAATTTCGCCCGATTCTTAGGTTTTCGCGTGCTATAGCCCAAGCCATCTGCCTAGGCTCGGGCAACCGAACCCTGATCGCCTAAAATTTTATCGGCCCATCAAAAACGACCAAAGGAACAATAGTCATTGCCTCGCCATGACCATTCTTCGTTTTTAGCTTTTAGGGCCATAAAACTAGAATTACGCCTGATTCCTAGATTTTCGTGTGTTATACCAGACCCCGATAGCCTAAAATTTTGTCGGCCCATCAAAAATAATAGAAGGAACAATAGTCATCGCCTCGCCATTATCGTTCCTCATTTTTTGGTATTTTAGAGTCATAAAACTGGAATTTCTCCCGATGTCGGTCCATCAAAAATGACCTAAGAAACAATAGTCAATGTCTCTCCATGATCGTTCCTCGTTTTTTGGCGTTTTAGGGCCATAAAACTAAAATTCTGCCGATCCCAGATTTTCGTATGCTATAGCCCACGTCATTTGCATGGTCCCGGGAGAACGGACCCCGATCAACTAAAATTTTGTTGGCTCATAAAAAATGACCTATAGAACAATAGTCATCGCCTCGCCATGTCCGTTCCTCGTTTTCTGGCGTTTTAGGGCCATAAAACTTGAATTCCACGCGATTCTTAGATTTTCGAGTACTATAGCCCATACCATCTGCATGAGCCCGGGCAACCGGACCCTGATCGCCTAATATTTTGTTGGCCTATAAAAAATGACCCAACGAACAATAGTCATCGCCTCGCCATGATCGTTCCTCATTTTTAGTGTTTTAGGCCCATAAAACTAGAATACACTCGATTCCAAGATTTTTGTGTATTATAGCCCATGGCATTTGCATGGACTTCGGCGACCGGACCTCGATCGCCTTAAATTTTATTGGACCATAAAAATAACATAAGAAACAATAGCCATCACCTCGCTATGATAGCTCATTTTTTGGCGTTTTAGGGCCATAAAACTGGAATTCCTCTCGATTCCCAAATTTTTGTGTGTTATATAGCCCATACCATTTACACAGGCCCGAGCGACTAGACCCCGGTCACCTAAAATTTTGCATGTCCATAAAACATAACCTAAGAAACAATAGTCAACGCATCACCCTCGTTTTTTGGCGTTTTAGGGCCATAAAACTGGAATTTCGCCTGATTCCTAGATTTTCGGGTGTTATAGACCACGCCATTTGCATGGGCCCGGGCGATCGAAACCCGATCACCTAAAATTTTGTTGGCTCATCAAAAATGACCTAAGAAACAATAGTCATCGCCTAGCCATGACTGTTCCTCGATTTTTGGCGTTTTAGGATAATAAAATTGAAATTTCGCCCGATTCCTAGATTTTCGAGTGCTATAACCCACGCCATATGTATGGCCCCGGGCGATCGGACCCTGATCTCCTAATATTTTTCCATCCCCTAAATATGACCTAAGGAACAATAATCATTGCCTCACCATGAGCGGTCCTCGTGTTTTGGCGTTTTAGGGTCATGAAACTAGAATTCCGTCTGATTCCCAGATTTTTGTGCACTATAGCCCACGCCATATGCATGAGCCCGAGTGACTGAACCCTGATCGCCTAAAATTTTGCCGACCCATAAAAAATAACCTAAGGAACAATAGTCATCGCATCGCCATGACCGTTCCTTATTTTTCAGTTTTTTAGGGTCATAAAACTAGAATTTCGTCTGATTCCCAGATTTTAATGTGTTATAGCCCATGCCATCTGCATGGGCCCGGGCGATGGATCCCGATCGCCTAAAATTTTGTCAGCCCATCAAAAATGACCTAACGAACAATAGTCATCGCATTGCCACGATCGTTTCTCGTTTTTCGGCGTGTTAGGGCCATAAAACTGAAATTCCGCCCGATTCGCAGATATTCGTGTGTTATATAGCCCACGCCATCTATGTGGGTCCGGGCCACCAGACTCTGATCACCTAAAATTTTGTCGGCTCATAAAAAACGACTTAAGGAACAATAGTAATCGCCTCGCCAGTTTTTGATGGGCCGGTAAAATCGGACGTGCTGATAATTGACAACTTAAAATATCAAAAAATGTAAAGTGAAATTTCCAAGAATTTGTTCCATCACTAGTAACCACAAAATGAAAAGGAAGAGGATATATTCAAATGTAATGATAAGAAATTTGAAATTGACATTCCCAAAGTTCTTATCCTTTGTAAAGGAAATGTACTAACAATCGACTAATATTATCAACAAAATACCGATGTTAGGTCTTGTTTTAGATTTAACTGCATTTTCTGGTCGAGGGGCCACAAAAAGTCCTAATGCGATTCCCCGTATCATATGTTAAATTAAACTTATAAATGTGATAATAAACTTGATTATGATATAAATTAATGATTTAATACGACCCTTAATAAAAGAAGTGAGAGCTTAGCCAGCCCCAGTTCAAATACCATTATTTTCACTTTATCCTGCCCTCTTATGTTCTAATAGATGCAAATGGTGTCCTTCGTCAATAGGGCTAGAAGAACCACTAGTGTCGTTTGGTTGAAAAACAAATTATTTTATGATCAGTTATTCCGAGATTAATTATACTGGAATTATTATATCACTCTTTCATAGAGATAAAAATAACATTATAATCCCGGAATAACTAATTCTCGAATTAAATGTGAGTTAAACTCATCTCAAATTTAATCTTGGGGTTAATTATCCCTTATCCTATACCAAACGAGCGACCATGATTTGACCGTATATTTTGAACATAATTAAATATAGATATCATGAACACGAGATCCAGAATACCAAGCCGAGAAAGTCGAGCAACCATTTTCATTAGAAAAACTCAATTGGTCGCATACTGCATATTCTAACTCGTTCTACTATATGTGAGAAGAAGCCGCAAATAGTTTGGACGATTGACAAGAATGACTCCATAAGGGGCTGATTTTAGCCGAATGTCTTCAAAATCGTGGTATTTAAAAAATAGATCCGCACATAGTTATTGCTCTTCAAAGTTTTTCTACTGGATTGATAGATTTTATGTTATAGTTAATCTATCTATTTGTTAGCTGTTCATCATAGTCTACCAGGTTGTCATGATTTTATTCTTTAGGGATTTCTTACCGATTTGGTAGAGTTTATGCTATATTTGCTCAATCTATCTGTTAAATTGTTCACCGAAGTCTGCCCGATTGTTATAACTTTTTTTGTGTTATTTTAACAAATAGTTCTTCAAATTTGCAACTTCAATTTCAATTAAACCACCCTAAATTCGCTCCAAATGATCTCAAATTTAAAATAAAGCTTTCAAATACCACAACACAAGCAATCCTTAATCACCAATTTAACAAAATAACACCAAGTCAAGAAGATCTACTTTGTCTTTTTTACTACTTTCTAAGGTCCAACAAATGAAGTTTTGAGCTTTTTACAGTAAAGGTATTTGAACTAAAAATTTAAAGTATAAATTATTAACATTCAAACGATTTTAACAACAATGGTTCATTAATCTTCTACTTTCCACCACCAAATAAGAATTTCAAGCTTTAAATATTGAAGAACTATGGTGTTCAAGTAAAAAAAATCGGGGCTTTCACTAAACCGTCAAAAATAGAGATATTCCACCAAAGATATGTCACGTTGGAGACATGCCGTGCAATTCCTTTAAATTGTGTTCCCATAAGGTCATAACAATTGGGCTTTTCCCTTGTGGGACATCAAAGGCCAAATTCCAACCATTCATCTTAGAAGAATTAACCCAAATAGTCGCCCACTCAATCACCACTATCAACAATAACATACCCAGTATTATCCCACATTGTGGGGTCTGAGGAAGGTAGTGTGTACGCAAACCTTACCTCTACCTTGTGAAGATAGAGAGATTGTTTCCAATAGACCATCGGCTCAGGAAGTCGCCCACCCAACCAAATTAAAAATAATCGATGAAGATATAATACATGCATAATTATGTATAATCAATGTATAAACTATGTATATGGCGAGAAAAAGTAAATAATGAATATGACCGGCTATTTGTGTTAAAATCCCTTCATCTTATGACTAACTGGACTCTAAAACAATTTGGGCTTGGACTCTCTAGATTGGGCTTCGCGAATGAAGTTGGGCTCAAGAATAGTAATCTCCGCTTATCCAAACAGAACTTAATAAATTAAAATCGTGTTATCTTCCTTCTCCTCCTCCTTCGCTCTTCTCATCTCTTCTAATTCAATTTCTTACAATTCAATTCTTCCAACATTAGGGCTTTAATTTGGCTCCTAGATCAGAATACGACATCGTTTAGAAGAATCCTAAAATGGCGAATCAAGGAGCAAAGAAGCGAAAGGAAGAAAACGCTCGTCATATGAAGAAACTCTTTCAAATCATCCTTGCTTGCAACGTAAATTTCTCCTCATTTTTTCAATTAAAATGATTTTTTTATTTATTTGTTTATTTATTCAATTTTATTTTGTGTATAGGTAATTTATTTATTGGTGAGAGCTGGAATTTTCCATTCAAGTTTCACATGGAAGCATATAGTAGGATTATTGTTGACTTCTTTGGCTTATGCTTTACCATACAAACAATTAGATTCAATGTCAAAACCAAGTTATGGTGATGATGGAGAGCTCTTTGATGGTGGATATGATATGAGTACTGGTGGTATTTGTGGGTAATGTGTAGCTTCATTCCCAATTCATTTTCATTGTTTTATTTTTTGAGGTTTTGAGTTTTTTTACGTTTTTTGAGCTGTTTTAACTTGAGTTTGATAAAATATCGGCCTTGGTTATTAACAGTTTGTTTGGATGGTTGTTACCGGTTGTATTGTATCGTTATGTTTGTTTTGATTATTACTTAAATTTTATTGTATCGTATCGTTAAATTTGTCGTTATGTAACAACGAAAAGTGTCACTTTATGTAACGACATATTTGGTGTGGTTGCATCATTACCGTTTTTTTTCCCTCTCATCTTGTCCTCCCTTATTATTAAATAATCTTATTTTATCCTTTACCCTACCTTTTTATTAATAATTTTACCTCGTACCCTACCTTTTTTTTTATTTGTATTATTGCAAGTTTATTCGTCATATTGTTGCATAACATCACGAAACGACGATAAACAATACGATCTATCCAAACATTATATATATCAAAATAATAACAGTACAATACAATATGATACGATATATTTTAAAATAATACATAACAACCATCCAACCAAGCTGTAAAAAAATTGAGCTATGATGCCCATTACACATCAATTTCCTTGTATAATGTTTTGGGGGCATATTAAATTTTAACTACTAATGCAATAATCACTATCTTTTTTATAGAGAGACTAGTTGTTGGATTCTGAGCTTTGAACTTGATTTCAAGCTGTAAATGTTGCTTTTAATATGCTCAGTTTTGCTGATATTATATTCCTAGTCAAAGCATTGGCTTTCTGGTAACTTGATTATCTCCTGCTCCATTTTGTTTGTAAATATATATATAAAATCTTACTTTGTGATGAATCTTGTTTGCAGATATTTACATGATGTAATCTACATTACATGTTTCGTGCAGTTGGCTTCTATCATCTCTGACAAGTTCTGGTACACATATCTGGTGGTAAGTTTATTTTTATACCTTTATCCATGCATTAGTTACATGTCACAGTCAACGTTATGCATTTTGAGAATGGATCAGAGCTTATAATCAGTAGGAAATATCCATATCCATTGCTGCAAAATTCAATTAACATAAAAATTTGGTAAGATGTTATTTCTGTTGTCTTATCGTTGGTATGATCTATAGTTTATCTAGCCATCACAATAAGGTTTTATTGACTACGTTTGAAGAACATCCTACTTTTGGATCTTTCATGGATGCAAGGACGTGTGGATAACTCATTGGTTGATTTGTGAGTGAAAAGACGCACCTTAGGAAAGAAGAAAATAAGTTGAGTTTCCAGTCATTATTCCATGTATTTGGTCAGGAATTAGTATAAATTTAGAGTAGATTTTGTTGTGTTCCAGAGGAGCTTTGCATGGGTTTGAAACATTATTTCCATTAGTAAAGTTGAAAGTTATCACTATATACATGTTATGATTTTGCGTTGCTGAAATCTCAAGGCAATAATTTTGTGCTTTCTTTCTTTTTCAGTCAATGAATTTGAGAAATTCTTTTACAGAATAAGAGCCCACCTCCGCCCAATTTTAAGTCTTGTGATGGTGCCTGCTTTTATTCTCTTTCTTTTTCAGTCAATGAATTTGAGAAATTCTTCTACAGAAATGAAGCCTGCCTTCACCCAATTTTATGTCATGTGATGGCGCTTGACAGAGCAATTCTTGTCTTAATATCCAATGATAACCTTACTTATCAGTCCAAAAGAAAAACAAAAAATAAAATTATAAGATGAGAGGGAGAGAGAGCTCACATTCTAGTGCATTTGAGGAGAGGGGAAAAGAGGAAGGAGAACAGAGATACAAAGAGTTTTTCTCCAAAAGCTAAAACATCTTAACATCCTGCAGTATTCTTTGTCCTTTACAATGTGGCAAAGTAGATGTCTTCATGGCATCGCCAAATTTACCCTTTTCTAGTTTAGTCTTCTGAAGTTCTTGCAGATATTTTTTCTTTAAGGCGAAGCTGAAGATGTTTTTCTTTTAGGGTGTTTTTGCTGTCAAGGAAATTACTAACTCAATCTAGCAAATTCCCTGGTATGAAGGGCACTAGTTCTCTTAATTTATCAATTCTGTTTCCCATATTAGAGAAGGAACTGTTTTCTGACATGCTTGACCATACTTTTGGAGATTTTAGAAGTTGCACATGTTTCAATTAAGTTTATCCCACTCCAATTAAAATTTAGAGCCCTCTATTAAAAATGAGATATTGGCTTAATTAATAGGCTTTCTATTCCAAGGACCCAAGTACTCTTCTTCTTTCGGCCTTTTGTTCCTAGGACTGTTAGACCTCCTATCATTTATCCACAATTTAGTGCTGGTGAAATGTACTCTGGCTTTGACACGTACATCCAAACAGAAAAAGGTGCAATGATGTCATTTGTAGTTGTTTGGGACTGAAGTTAGTTGTTGATGTCATTGTGGTTGTCTTGTCAATCTGCAGAGTGCTAAATGGTATAGCAACAAAGGTGGTCATGCTAGCTTGTTTTAGGCATTTGGTTTTCTACCCTTTTTTAAAAATTGCCAATAAGTTATTCCAAGGGGATACCTTAGTGTTTAAAGCATCGAGAGTAACCTGTAGATTCCAGGTTCGGATCCCAATCCCAGCATCATCAGCGTGCACCGATCTGCACCAACCCCCATTGGGCAGATTGCCCAGCTCCTTGTGGGCTATAGCAGGCTGCCCTGTGGATGTGTGTGGTTTAGTTGAGGTGCACAGAAGTTGGCTGGGATGCTAGTGTTATCCTAAAGGAAAAAAGAAATGGTTAACAAGTTCCTCAGAATGCGAAAGCGGTCTAGCCAAATTGCACCTCTCTTTTTCGTTTACTTTGAATGATCATTCTTTCCCTATTCTCTGTTTTTGAGGGGTGATAATGGAATTCTGTTATTGCAATGAAGATATCCTGTAAGAGTAATGCTTTATTCATGTTTAGTAATGGTTACAGGGACAGATAACTAATGAGATTTTTAAGTTATTTGGCTGACGTGCACTAAATTACCGTTTCCCTTTCCAGATACCTGCATTCGCAGCGTACAAGCTCTCTGGATTTATCAAAGGATTTTTGCCTCAAGGTTCAGAGGTTCGTGTTAAGAATATGGAACCAAATTGTGATAGATTAACAATTCCTTAACTAAGTGACCTAAGGCCCTAATGTTTCTCTTGATTATTCAGGATGCTGAAGAGGATGAAAAGACCAGAAAAAAGAGAGAGAAACTGGAGAAGAAAGCTTCAAGAACCAAATTTGTTAAAACAAGAGCTCGATAACTCAGCAAAGCAATGAAGTAGAATGGTGTTGCTGAGACTTGTGCATTGGCTGATTGACTACACCTGTTCTTCAAATGTCAGAAAATTGTGTTCTAGCACATGAGTTGTCTCGAGACTGGAGATCGATGTAGTCTGATCTTGTTGAAAATTATGGTTTCGGATACTTTGTAGGATTGCCATATACAGATTCATTTTATGTCTGTTTAATGTATTTGTGTATGTCTTGGTCAGCAGACTACATTTCCATATCCACTTTGAAGAAACCTGTACCATGACATAATCAAGGATTTAGCTACATTTTGGTGCAATTTGGAACTTGATCTCGAAACCCTTTCTCAGGTTTGAGATATAATTATGTTCTATGAGTATATTCTGATAGAAGTATATTTTCGAAACATGAAATTTTTGCAAGAGGATGGAATTTTTTATTAGTCAACTGAGTTGGCCACTCATCTAACACACTAGTTTAGAGCATTTTCAGGTTCTATGATTTAAACTTTATTGGTTCGAACTTTAAAGTTTCTAGCATTGAACTCATTATATTTTTAAAGTAATAGGTTCATGTCTACTATTTATTATAATTTTAATGAAGTTTTATACATAAATTTATGTTTCGCTTAGAAAATTATGGATTCAATGGAACTCGTACCTATAGTCATAAATCTGCCCTTGTATTTAGGTGTCCGGATGAAATTCCGTGAGGATGGGGTGAGAATATAATTCCGTGCAACTATTCGGGCAAATAAATATGAACAAACAGTTGCTTATTTATACTATGTTTTGTTGACGGTATAAACTTAATATAGTATAAATTTAATCCCAGACTTAATCCTTGATATCACATCTTATTCTACCTTAACCCATCAAATTTGGTATTATTTTATACCACCTCACATGTGGTATACATTTGTCTAGAGATTATAATCTCAGGACTATAACCCCAGAATAATTTAGTCCGCGTACCAACCGATCCCAATCAACTAAAGTTTAATAAAATTTAGGTGATCGAGAAAGCTTATTACAAATGTCGTGAGGAAACACTGGTTAGTCATTGTGTTTGATGTCATCTTCCTACTACAAATTCTTTTAATTAATTGATAGAAACATTGAAATTTTGAGTAATTTACAGGGACATCCCTCTGGGTTACCTATATTAGATGTACACCTTCTCTAGTTTTCTGCAATGAACTTCATTGAATTTTGTAAAATGTAAACTTTTACCTGAAAACTATATACTTGCACGTAGGGGTGTTCATGGTTCGGTTTGAATCGGTTTTTCCCTAAAAAGAAACCAAATCAAGTAAATCGGTTCTTCAAATATTGGAACCAAACCAAACCAAACCAATTAAGTCGGTTTTTTATCGATTCGGTTTCTATCGATTTTGGTCGGTTTTTCGGTTTTTTCGGTTATTTATCGGGTTTTTTCTTAAATATGAAACATATACTACCAAACACATATTCCGGAGACNACTAGACTAAAAATATAAATGACTAATATGTACAATAAAATTTTAGAAACTTTATATAAAAATATACTTATATATATATATAAAATAAATTTAAATAGCTACTTCTATAATCTGTTTGGTTCGGTTTTTCCGGTTATTTTTTTATTAAAACCAAAACCAAACCAAATTTGATCGGTTTTTAAAATTCAAAACCAAAACCAAACCAAATCTAAAAAGTATCGGTTTTTTTTGGCCGATTTGGTTCGATTTTTTGAATTTTTATGAACACCCCTACTTGCACACGATATTTACAACAAACAAATGATCGAAGAACTTTAGGTATTGTAAGAGTTATATTATTTCACTTATCTGAATTCGAGCTATGAGAACGAAAAAAAACTTCTAATAGAAAATGATTCCCCTTTAATGGGTAATACACCGTGCGAATTTAAATTAGCCCGGATAAATTTCTGAATACCAAATAATTAAACCCAAATAATTACTTCTTTGTGTATTAAATATATCAAACCATTTCCCCCACTCCTGACACCTCCACCCTATAAAAGTAAAAGATATTTGCAAAAAACATGAAAATGATACAACATTTTTGTTCTAGTAGCTTGTCACTTTGCTTTCCTTTACTTCCTAAGAATACAATCTCATTTATCAGTATCTCTAATAAAATCTTTTCTCAAGATATTCATTTTCCTGAACAGACAGATAAAATATTCTGACATACCGACATTTTAATACCATCAGAAAGGAAAAAGAAATTCGAAGGAATCCAAAAAATGTCATTGTCTGTTTTTCTAACTTCTTTTACTTTAATTAAAACCAAATAAGAAAAGACAAGGAAATTTAAGTGAAATAAAATTGGTTAAATTATTGCTCTAGTCAACCTTATTGGACAAATAAAGAATAAAATAGTACATACTTGTCAAACAAGAGTACAAGACTAACCTGGTTAAGTAAAAGAAGAAACTTCATCCTCATTTTCCTGCCATGTGTATTCATTGATCACATATTTTTTAATGGGCAGTAACCATTTGATGAATTATGAAATTTCAGTTGATAAAGACAAGAAAAAATGTAAAAATTCCTCCCTATATTTTGGAGTAAGTTGAAAATAATCCCTTAAATATACTTCTGCGCGATTTTAATCCTTTAAATTTGTCAATTGTGAACACTTTTGATCTCCGCAATATATTGTTGGAAAAAAATATGTCCATCAAATATTTAAAACCTGTGATAGCTAGATTCAAGGAAATTGTGAAATTTTGTTTAACCAAAAACATCAGAAAGTTCCGTCAAATTCCAAAAATCACAACAGTAAAAACTGCACCAAACACGAGAAATAGATAATAATAAAAATTACAAAATCCGCACCTCCCTAATTTAACAATCAAAGTTTGTTAAATACTTAACGAAAACTAGAAGTGTTCACTTTTGATAAATTTAAAGGATAAAAGCTGCTCAGAAATATATTTAAGGCACGATTTTGAACTTACCCCAAACATAATGAACCATTTATGACATTTTCTGACAAAGACAACTTAATCCTTTCTTCTCCTCAACTATATAAATGCATGTTATAGAAGTAGGAATACTATAAAAGAAAGCTCCATTATTAGAAACATTATACAAGAAAAATGGAGAAGCTAAATAGCACAGTTGCAGTTTCATTTGTGATTATGATAATTTTTTTAAGATGGGTATGGAAATTCTTGAATTGGGTGTGGATTCAACCAAAGAAAATGGAAAAGAGACTAAAAATGGAAGGATTCAAAGGAAGCTCATATAAGCTATTACTTGGAGACATGAAAGAGATAAATACAATGGTTGAAGAAGCCAAAACCAAGCCTATGAATTTTACCAATGATTATGCGGCTAGAGTCTTACCACACTTCACAAAGTTGATGCTCCAATATGGTATGTAATATTATTAGTGCTATAATTTAACCGATTATAGCAGGTCATGACGCTATTTAAGAGATTGTTATATCAAGAGTTGACATGTAGAGTTACTTGTTGTTTTAAATCAACTTAACTATATCATGACTCGAGTTTAAGCTCTATGCACTCACAGTGTAATATTTATTTATATAGTCAGGTCATTTATAAGGCAGTTACGTAAATATCTAAGAAATGCTTTAATTAGTAATCTGATAAAAGTAGTAACTAACTTGTTTTCACAAGTAATTCTACCCTAATAGCAGTGGCGAAAGCAGGATTTTCACCAAGGGGATTAAAAAAATAATAAACACGCAAAAAAGCTAAGGGAATTCAACACCTGATATATACATGCAAAAAAAAAATTAACGTTATATATATAGTGTAATTTTCGGTGAAGGGGGTTCAGCCCCTTCCGTCCACCTAGCTCCGCCCCTGACTGATAGTGTAAACTATCTTTACATTGGGAGTCTGTCTATAATAAATCATATTTTAAATGAGGCTCAGTTCAATTATTGCATCTCTTTAACATCCTTATAGGATTTCAATAGTTTGAGATTTCTGTTTTCTCTAATATTAGCTTGTTGTATTATCTTGTAGGCAAGAATAGCTTTATGTGGTTAGGACCAAAACCAACAATGTTTATCACAGACCCTGAACTTATAAGGGAAATTTTGTCAAAAAGTTACATATACCAGAAGATTCAAGGCAATCCAATCACTAAGTTGCTAGCACAAGGACTAGCAAGTTATGAGACAGAGAAGTGGGCTAAGCATAGAAGAATTATCAATCCTGCATTTCACCTTGACAAGTTGAAGGTAGCTTTAACATCCTAAATCACTTGAATACTATCCTAATTAATCTTTATTATAGATGATTGCACTATCTTTAAGCTGTGAAATGCTCTTCATCTTATATCACCTTTGTATTACGACGACTTCACAAGGTAGGGGTAAGGTCTGCGTACACATTACCCTCTCCAGACCCCACTTGTGGCATTATACTGATTTTTTTGTTGTTGTTGTTGTTGTTGTTGTTGTTGTTGTTGTTGTTGCGACGTTTTCAGAATGTTAGTTTATTGATTAGTAGGAAATATTAGTTGTTGTTGTTGTTGCGACGTTTTCAGAATGTTAGTTTATTGATTAGTAGGAAATATTAGTTGTTGTTATTGTTGTATATTACGACGTTTTCAGAATGTTAGTTTATTGATATGTAGGAAATATTAGTTGTTGTTATTGTTGTATATTACGACGTTTTCAGAATGTTAGTTTATTGATTAGTAGGAAATATTAGTTGTTTTGTCCTGATATTACTAATGCACATCCTAAAGCACATATGCTCTAAATAAGATCTACTATAGGAATATCATTAGCATGTCTTGTGGTAGTTGACCACCCTTCATCGAAAAATTATATTGTATATATAGGTAAAATATTAGGTTTTAGATGTATATAACATATATTGAACACCCTTTATCGAGAAATGTTTTTCCACTTCTTTCAAGTTTGAACACCCTTTAGGAAATCTCTAGCTTCGTCACTGCCAGGTTTCGTGGTTTAGCAGAACCCAGTGCTTGGGGTCGACCCTTGTATATGTGTGGGAAATACGTATGACTAGAGTTAATGTACATTTCAATACTCACAACGTCTAAATTTTGGATTCACCATTGTTGTTCTGATAAATCTTGACGTGATCACGTTGTATCCTAGCATTAACATTACATAGAGTTGGATAATTGTGATCTTTCAATGCTAGTATTATAAATTGAGAAGGAAAAAAAGTCTGTTATTGAGCCATTAACTATGAATGTTTCTTTGATATATGTAGCATATGCTACCATCTTTCTACTTGAGTTGTTGCGACATGCTCAGAAAATGGGAAAGTATAGTTTCATCAGAGGGATCAGAGATAGATGTGTGGCCTTTTCTTCAAACGTTGACAAGCGATGCCATTTCAAGAACTGCTTTTGGTAGTAACTATGAAGAAGGGAGACAGATATTTGAGCTTCAAAAAGAACAAGCTGAGTTAATTTTACAAGCAGTGCGATGGCTTTACATCCCCGGATGGAGGTAAACTCGACTTACAAATTATATACAGTTTCAAGAAAAATAGTCCTGTGATTTATCTATTATATTAAGTAAACTCAGACTTACAGTTTTGTGACTTTACTGTTATAGTTGATAAAAGTTAATGATCATACATGAAATTAACTAACGCTTTGTTTTTGGCATAGATTTGTGCCAACAAAGAGGAACAAGAGGATGAAGCAAATCGCTAAGGAAGTACGATCATTAGTGTTAGGAATAATCAATAAAAGAATAAGAGAAATGAAAGCAGGGGAAGCTGCAAAAGATGACTTACTGGGAATACTATTGGAATCTAATTTTAAAGAAATACAAATGCATAGAAACAAGAACTTTGGTATGACTATTGATGAAGTGATTGAAGAATGCAAGTTATTTTACTTTGCTGGGCAAGAGACTACTTCAGTTTTGCTTGTATGGACTTTGATTTTACTGAGTAAGCATGTTGATTGGCAAGAAAGAGCTAGAGAAGAAGTTCGTCAAGTCTTTGGAAGTAACAAACCTGATTATGAAACATTGAATCAATTGAAAGTTGTAAGTACGGTCAATATCCACCATACTAATTTTTGTTATCCAAAATTTGGTATTTCATTATTTTTACTACTTAGCATGTACCACGTCTTCCTTGAAGGGGAGCTTTGGCGTAACTGGTACTGTCATGTTTCCTGGTCACGGGTTCGAGCTATGGAAACAATCTCTTGCAAAAATACAGGGTAAGACTGTGTATAATAGACCCTTGTGGTCCGGCCCTTTCCGGGACCCCGCGTATAGCGAAAGCTTAGTGTATCGGGCTGCCCTTTAACCTGTACCAAGTCTGAATGGATGAGGGTCGAGGTAGGCTGACAACCGGCGTATGATTAGTCAATTTACAATGAATCCTCACAATACATTTGGCATAACTAGTAAAATTATTGTCATGTGATCAGGAGGTCACGGGTTCGAGCCGTGAAAATAGCTTCTTGCAAAAATGCAGGGTAAGACTGTGTACAATAGACCCTTGTGGTCCGGCCCTTTTCCGGACCCCGCGCATAGCGGGAGCTTAGTGCATCGGACTGCCCTTTAGCCTGTACAAGTCTAAATGGATGAGGGTCGGGGGTAGGCTGACAACCGGCGTATGATTAGTCAATTTATGATGAATCCTCACAAGACAGTATTTTTACTATTTTTTACAGGTAACGATGATATTCAACGAGGTTTTAAGGTTGTACCCACCGGGAATTATGATTGGTCGAACTGTACACGAGGAAACCAAATTAGGGAACTTGTCCTTGCCAGCAGGGATGCTACTTATGTTACCTGCAATTTGGTTGCATCATGACAATGAAACATGGGGAGATGATGCTAAGGAGTTCAAACCAGAGAGGTTTGGTGAAGGAGTTAATAAAGCAACAAAAGGTAAGTTTGCATATTTTCCATTTAGTTGGGGACCAAGAATATGTATTGGACTGAATTTTGCAATGTTAGAGGCTAAAATGGCACTTGCATTGATTCTACAACACTATGCTTTTGACCTCTCTCCATCTTATGCACATGCTCCTCATACAATTATCACTCTTCAACCTCAACATGGTGCTCCTTTAATTTTGCGCAAGCTGTAGCGCGGATATATAGATTTGTTATCTACCGTAGGTTACTAAAACATATATCACTTTTTTGGTCGTAGAACCTTCTATCTTTCTTTGTACTTTGTTTCTGTTTGATGATGGTATTGTCCAGGTCAGCTTGTGCGTTACCTTTCTCGGACCTTACTTGTAGAATTACACTGGATTTGTTTTTTGTTGTTGTTGCCAAAGTCTTAGTGGATAGAGTTACCTAATGTTTTTCTAAAAAGTCACTAGCAAGTATCGAGTGAATTAGTCGAAGTACACGCAAGTTGGTCCGAACACCACAGTTATTTTGAAAAAAAAAAAGATAATAACGAAGAAGCCATAGTTCATGCACTATGTTGCTAAGCTAAAATGATCCCAGGCTGTCCAAGCCTTGACCTTTTAATCAATCTATTGGTCACAACTTACAAGCGATAACACAACTTACCATTTCATCTCCGCAGCTGTATACTTAGCGATAACACAACGTTTAGGTGAAGCAGATCTTTAGGTGATAAAACAGGCTGCTAAAGAGTGAATTGTTGGGTATGTTGACCCTTAAAATCATCATTTCAACATACTAAACTGTGCCCAGGGCCAACTGAGTATCGGTCATAAGAACGTGTAAGAATCAAGTGATTATTAACCAAAGGAATCCAAAGATAAATAAACAGTAGTTACCTTAGCATATGCCCAAGCAGTCCAATATTCCAATGATACTGTACTAGCATTGGCCAGTCTCTATCTCACAATATGAACGTCACGAATATTACATAATACTAACTTCAGCAGAACAGACTATCAGCAGTTCAACTCGAACAAAGACTATTCATGATCTGCAAGATAAGCAGTCAACTGAAAAACGAAGAGAAGAGAGAAAAGTGAAGCCAGTATCAAAATCCTGACCAAGCAGTCACAATCACCCACCAAAAGTAGTACTACTATCAATCATACCACGATATGAAATAGTCACGGAGATCACATACTACTGACTTCAGCAGAATCATACTTGCATATCAGTAAAAACTCCCAACTTCATAGACAATATCATAGTATTTATTCATAGTACCGAAATAGGTCCATCACACGACATACCAGTCATAAAGATCTCACAACATGAAATAGTCATTGGGATTACATACAGCTGACTTCAGCAAAATCATCCTGTATATTACTCGCTAGATAATATGATAATAATTAAGCTACTAGATAAAAGATAATATGATAGTACTTAGGCATTTCACTCTTCCAAGGAGCGCATAGCAGGTAACTCCCTATCAACTCCAACAGAATCAGATTAAGTTCTTGCATAGCTGCTATACTGCCACATGGGTCTTCTTTTCAGTTCTTTCAGCGGAGAAGCCACTTCAGAGATGAAAGCGACCCCCTTCAGATTGGTCAGACAAACATGAAGATATCGTTAGCAGCTTCATTTCGTCATCCATCTAGTAAACCAGGAAGAAAAGAACATTAGGAAGGAAATGATGCAAATATTTCCGATCTTCAGAAGACATTGCATGCTAAATAAGATAATTGTTCTATCATCAAATTAAGGAGATCTTTACTGCTAGGCTGATTAAAACTTCACATTCAAAGGACATGCCCGCGGACCTGAAGAGCTCCCGGAAACTTGCTGCTAAGCACATGAGCGGCCAAGCCAAGCGCGGACCCTCGCACACCAGTGCAAGTTTCTTGCTTGACTCTTGCACCGGCATTTATGAAATGAAAGTCACCTTCATATTGCTCAGAAAAAAGCGAAGAAATTACTGGCAACTTCATTTTTTTATGCAGGCCATCCATCTAGTAAACCAGGAAAAAAGAAACAAATATTAGAAAGGGAATGATGAAAATCTCCAATATTCAATAGACATTTCATGCAAAAGAAGATAGGTGGCTCGATCATAAAAAGTTGATCTTTACTGCTAAATTAATTCAAAACTTCACACTCGAGGACAAGACAAAGTCTATGCCCACTGACCTGAAGAGCTCCCAGTAATTTGTCACTAAGGACATGAGCTGAAGAATCAGACGCAAGCCCTCGCGCACCAGCGCAGGCTCCCTGCTCCACTCCTGCACCAGCATTTGTGAGATGAAAACAACCTTCCCATTGCTCAGACAAATGCGAAGAATTTACTCGCGACTCCATTTCTTCATGCAGGTCATCCATCTAGTAAACCAGGAAAAACAAAAGAATATTACGTAGAAAAGAAATTAAGGCAAATATTTCTAATCTCCAAGAAATATCGCACGCAAAAGAAGATAGGTTGTTTTGATCATCAAAGATGGTTTTTACTGCTAAATTGATCGTAACTTCATATTCAAGAACAATAACATCTCTGCCAACCGACCTGAAGAGCTCCCTGTAATTTTTCGCTAAGCACATGAGCAGCTGGGCCACACGAGAGCCCTTGCGCACCAGTGCAGGCTTCCTGCTCCACTCCTGCACTGACATTTGTAAAGTAGCTTAATTGCTATTCAGAATCTTCATAAAATTCACCTTCGTCAGAAAGGTCATCAAAAGCTCGCACATCAAGCTGGTAGCGCAGAATCCCTCCAATGCCACCAAAACCACGGCAAAACTGAGATCCTTCTTGTGATTTGTTGGTAACAAACTCCAGACTACAACCAAATCTCCTGTACTCATTCGCAAACCACTCAAGTAGTGGCAATTTATCCTGAATTTCTAACTCCGCATTAGTAGCAGGATCACGGAAGTTACTTTGGACAGTGTCTTGCTCCTTATTCAAGTGCTTAATGATTGTTTCTCCGGACGTGTTATTTTTCAGCACATACCTAGTCATGTCCAGATTTTCCCACACAATAAGGGTCTCAATAGCACCCATTTCCAGAACTTTCAAGGTATCATCAACCCCAAAAACATACTTCCCAGTGTCCTGACTGATCTCCTCAAAATACTTGCCTATCAATTTCTTCTCCTGTATAAATTTCACGTTGGCTAAGATCTCAGCAGACAACTCAATTGCTTGATTGAAACCATTTTCTCCTCCATAAGAAACATCCACCACATTTAATATTTTTGCCTGAAGACGGGGATCAAACATATCAGACTGGCTAAGCTCTGTCTTAAAGTCAGCTGATCCAGCTAGTATCAGGCCTGAAACATTGGGCTGACTGGTGGCAGGATTAATATAAAATTGGGTTGCAAGCTCTGCCGTTTTCCTCACATAGTTGTGCCGTTTCTCCATCCGAAGACGAGCAAAACGCAGTGCTGACTGTCCTCCTCTTCCATGTTTTTTGGGCAGATCAACACTAAACTTGTGAAGAACCTCCCTGGTATTGCCACTCAATGTCCCGAAAAGTGTCCCATTTCCATCCATTATAATAAATCCAAACTTGTCATCAGATTCCAAAAGTTCATTCAGGGCTTCTGTGTGGAACTTGTTATCACAAAGATATAGAGATGCGTTAATGGGCCTGAAGGGCTCAAAATCAATTGTGACCTTCTTCTCTTTCCCATCTTCGGTCATAATCGTTCCAGTGTAAAGCACAAGCCCATTTGGTGGAACCTTGTTATAGAGTTTAAGTCTCTGCTGAGCAGATGTGATTGCACCCAACACAGATTGACGATTAACTCTACTTTTAATGTTTGATGCAGTTCCAAACTCATCTCCAAGCATCTTAGTGACCCTAGATACTTGATCCCGTGGAGGCATGATAAGAGAAATCATGCTGGTGCCATTGCCTCGAGCAGCTTCAAGTGCCTTTATAAGTTTCTTAATCTTCCATATCTCAATATTCTTATCATTATCATGACCGTCAGTCATCATTGTATACCAAACTGTAGTTCAAGAAAATAAAAAATAATCAGATATTAGTACACAAACATAGACTAAAATAAGTAAGCTAACACCAAGTGACAACAAATGCCCAAGCCTTCAAATAACCAATCAATGACAGCTATTGAGTGCTAAACTTACTATGGGCATGACTAGTTTTGTTACTAATCCCAAATTCTATGGTACAGATACAATGTCCAATTAGAAGATCGTATAGGAACTTCAGTGAGCTTGTAAAACTACATCCATTTCCCCAATTCCAGAACTAACATCTATGTGTGTGGATAATCTTCAGGAGTCATTCTTTGTTTAAAGGGCCTAGTGTTTACAGGGGTTGATAAGTAGTTTACAGGGGCTAATATATCGGTATAACAATGGAAACTAAAACTATGTTTGATCACTGCCCTCATTGATTACTGAATATACATCTGCATATAACAAAAAATTAGAATCTTATGAAAGTTGATATCACAGCTATTAAAAAATCTTCTCCTTTTTTCATTTCAGGGGAAAGCTCTTTCTTTTATCCCCCTAAAAGTCTTCCAAGAGACACTTTTTTTGTGATGTATCTTCTAAGAGATTTAACTTCTTTTCTTGGATGATTAAATAATAACCGGCAACATATACTTCTCTTCACTCCACAGCACCTCCTACTTCACCCATTGGATACATCAATAGTACAACAACAACAATAACAACAAACCTAGTGTAACCCCACATAGTAGGCTCTGGGGAGGGTAGAGTGTACGCAGACCTTACCCCCTACCTTGTGAAGGTAGAGAAGTTGTTTCTGTAAGACCCCCGCTCAAAGAAAAAAGAAGATACATCAATAATAAATTATCAAATTAATCGGCTAACTCAACCCGCCAGGGAGATTAACACAACATGAATACTAGACAAACAGAAAGCTAATTCACTTGCTGCTTTTCAAAAAAATAACATACCGAAGCAATACAAATCAGTAGGTAGATTCAATGTTTTATCCAAAAAAATTGTCAACCAAATCAAACCCAATAATTTACATACCTTTTTAGAGCAAGGATGAAGAATTTTATACCAACCTTCCATGAACACTAAAACAACAACAACAACCCAGTATAATCCCACTAGTGGGGTCTGGGGAGGGTAGTATGTACGCAGATCTTACCCCTACCCTGGGGTAGAGAGGCTGTTTCCGATAGACCCTCGGCTCCCTCCCTCCAAGAACTCCCCACCTTGCTCTTGGAGTGACTCGAACTCACAACCTCTTGGTTGGAAGTGGAGGGTGCTCGCCACTAGAGCAACCCACTCTTCCATGAACACTATAGTACACATTAAATTACTCAACTTTATCAGATCTCTCATCCAAATCTTGCAATTTCGAACAACAAATTATATTTTTTCCGACTTCGGTGTCCGTATCAGCTTGCGCACACCTCTGACTATTCCACTGGATACCTGCTACCTCCCACCGGCGCAGGTAAGCGAAGAAATCACCAGTGTCTTTTGCCTCCCTTGGGATTAATATCCTATAATAAATTCTTCTTTTAATTAAGGTAGTGTCCGGGCCAACTTATGCACATTCACTAGATACCTGCTAGCTCCCACCAACACAGGTACCTAGTAACTATGCCCGCCAAAGCTTAACCAAGGTAAGAAATCACTAGTGTTTTTTTGCATCAGTCGGGATTTTATTTCCTACAATAAATTTTTCTTTTAATGAAGGTTGTTGTCCGGGCCAGCTTGCGCACATTCACCAGATACCTGGTAGCTCCCACCAACATAGTCACCAGATACTTGGTAGCTCCCACCAACATAGGTACTTAGTAACCATGCCCGCCAAGGCTTAGCCAAGGTAAGAAATCACTAGTGTTTTTTCGCATCCATCGGGATTTACTTTCCTAAAATATATTCTGTCGAATCCCGCATAAAAATCCACAAAAAAAAACCTTAATTCTCTTTGATTTAACCATATTCTCTGATTAAACCGATTTCATTAATCATAACCACGTTTAAGATCACTTTGTTTAAAGGCGCTCACTAATTTCTCCAATAAAAGTAACTCATATAAAATAGCAGGAGTACTAGATTTTAAGCAATAATCACTAATCTAAATCATCAGTTTCATAATCCAAACAAAACAACATAATCTAATCACTTCACCTAGTTAGATCAATAAAACATAATAAAAATTAAAAACAAAAAAACATATATTAATAATAAATAAATGAATAAATCACTAATCAAGGGAACACAAATTTCATGTTTTTTTTACAACAAGAAATAAATAAATTGAAAATGATGAACATAACTTAGGGAGAAGTGAGACGAGAATTCACCAAAAAGAAAAGAGAGAAAAATAGAAAGAGAGACTGACACGGCAGTTATGGAATTCTAGAGAGAACAGTGGGAATGTTTTGTATATATAGTTATTCTAATTGGGCCCCACAATGAAATATAAATACCGACTTTACTTCCCAAGATATTTTCTTTATTTTCTTTTTCCTCTAGACTAGAAAAGTAACAATAATAAGTAATTATTTTTATGACAATAATATTCGGATTGCATTTAAAACAAGCAAGTACTTATTTTAAATTTTGTTTAAAAAATCTCAATGAATTTTACAACGAAGAGGAGTGTTTTTCCTTAGTGTTAAATTACTAATTCTTTATTTATATGAAATTGTAAAATAATTCAAGAAAAGCAAATTCAGAAACTATTATAAATGACATTAGTTGAAAGTTTCTTAGGCATTTGGACATGAGTTGGTTGAAGTTTGAAAAGAAAAAAAAGAGTACTTGATGTTAGAAGTTGAAAAAGGATATTTGGAATTAAATTGTTAGTAAATACGTACTTACATTCAATATTTATATCAAATCAAATAATTTAATTCTAGCAGTTTAAAATTAAAGTGAAAATGCATATCAGGTTAAGTAATAAATATATTTATCTTATATTCATTAGTTCAATTTAAACTCTAAATGCGAGTAAGTATTTAATGTTCTTTCGATCTTTACATGTTTTGTTCTCTGTTTACTATTTTGTAAGAAATTATACGTTTCTTTAGCAGTTCCTTTTAATTGAACAAATTCGAAAATATTAGCAACAAAAAAGAAAAAACAAATTCGAGAATCCTGAATAAAAATCAAGATTCTCTTTCTATGAACTGTACAACTAAGGCTCCATATTGAAGAATAAAAAAACATTAGAGAGATAAGGATTAGTTGAAACATTTCACGTGAAGCAAGCATAATCGGATTCATGATTTAAATTATATATGTTCAACTTTAAAGATTTTTAGCATTGAACTTATTATATTTTTAAAGTTATGGATCCATATTAGGGTGTACAAAGAAAACAGATAAATCACACAAAACCGATAATCTGAGTCAAATCGAAAAAAAATTCAATTGTGATTTGGTATTAAAAAAAAGCTCGACCATCAAACGCTAACTAATATAACAATAAATCCCATTCGGCAGTGTTATAAGTTCTTGGCTCTTCTTTTTATGGAAAAAAATACATTAACCATCACTGGTTTATTGCTTCTTTGTAAAACTCTAAGCAAAATTACTCAATTTGGTTCAAGTGTTTTTAGATAAATTAACGGCTTAACCTCTGTATTTTAGGATGACATTCGCCTTGCCTCCTTTCCTAGTCTTGCCAGAGGCGGATCCAGGATTTAAGCCCT